AAATGATATTCATCACTCTTAGGCTTCTTCACAGGCAAGATGGGTGTGTTAAAAGCTGATGTGCATTCACGGAGAAGGCCATACTCCAGGAACTGTTCAACTAACAGCTTCACTCCTTTCCTGGCTTCCATCCGCATTGGATATTGTTTCACACATGGAGGCTGGGCCCCTGGCAAAAGTTGAATCTTTACAGGGTCAGCATTTTAGCCTTTCCGGGTCGATGACCTGCCCATACCCATGGAACAACAGCATCGAGCAGGGTTTGAGGGATATCCGGTGTACTTTCCTCTCGGAGAAGGCCGAGAAGGCAAGCCTGCAAATGCCACCCCTTTTCAGAAGGCACTGTTAAAAACATTTGCCCATCCTGGAACGACAACGTAGCATGCAATTTACAGAGGAGGTCTCTTCCTAAAAGGGGAACAGGGCAGTCTGGCATGTACAAAAATTGATGGGTGACTTCAGTCTGCCCAAGATTACAGGTCATTGGCTGTAAAAAAGGGTCGTGTTACTGCCTTCCCTGTAATCCCTACCACCGGCGCAGCCTTTTTACTTAAAGGTTTCAGTTTTTGAGTTAAGACAGAATGGGCAGCACCTGTATCAACGAGAAAATTTACCAATTCATCTTTGTCCCCTAGTTGCATTTTAACCAGAGGCTCATCAGGGGACACTGGGATCTGGGTTATCTTTCCCTCCCGGGCCTCCGGTGTCCTTCAATCTGAATCCCTTCCAAAAGCAAACAGTCCACTGCTCTCCTCTTTTTTCTTTTCACCTTCCCCAACTTTCCGACGGGGGCATTCCCGCCTCCAATGTCCTTTTTGTTTGCAATAGGCACACTGATCTTTCTCTAATGGATCCCGTCTCTGAGGCTATCTCCAGGATCCCTCATTTCTAGGTTTTCCCGTGATTGCAGCTGCCAGTAGGGCTGCCTGCATTTTTATCTTTCTCTCCTCTTTTTTTGTCCTGTTGCTTTTCCTGAACACTTTCTCGGTTAGTAAATACTTGGTAAGCAATATCTACTAGTTGGGAAATAGGCATACCTGTTGCTCCGTCTGTCTTCTGCAATTTCTTTCTAATGTCCGGTGCACTCTGACCTATAAAAATCATATTTACCATGCGAGCGTTTGATGTATCCTCCGGGTTCTCACGAGTGTATTGTCTGAAAGTAGTGTAAATTCTTTCCAAGAAAGCACTCGGGGTCTCATTTGTCTCCTGTCGGACCTCATACACCTTACTGAGATTCTGGGGTTTTTTCACAGCATCTCTCAATCCTTGGAGGATATATTCTCGATAGGCACGGATAGAGGTCATATCTTGGTCTGGTTTCCAATCTGGCTCCTGGGTGGGGACATGATTGTCCCTATTTCCTTGCAAGTTCCCTGCAGTAATCTCCTTTTCCACGTACTCACGGGCTTTGCCCACTACCATTCTCCTCTCCTCTGGTGTCAACAGGATATCTAAAAGAGACTGAACATCTGCCCAGGTTGGGTTATGGGTTTTGAAAATCATTTTAAACAGGTTATGTACCTTTTCAGTACCTTCTCTCAAGCTGGGGGTATTGTTCCGCCAATTATACAAATCTGATGTAGTGAAAGGAATGTGCACAAAGGTTCGACGGTAGGTTGGCTCCCCATCATCTTCTAGAGGCCCAGGTACCACTTGTTCTCTTAGGGGAAATACCCCATTTCCCTTCCCACGGCCAGGATCAGATTCCCTGTGATGTTTTCCCTTAACCCCGGAGTCTGCTCTTAACTGTACTCTCCACCCACCTCCCGGGGTTATATCAGGAGAAGTCGGGGAATCTGGAGATTGCCAAACACCTGACAGCCAGGGCTGGTGCTGTTCCAGATTCCTAGGTCGGGGAGTATTTTCAGTCTCCGCCTCGGGGGGGAAGAAGCAGGAAGAGCAGATGCCAGCAAGGAATCAGCTGTATCAGGAGGAGGAGGAGGAAGAGGAAGAGAATATGGTAAAGGCAGCAGAGGGGGAAGAGCCTCCGGCTCCGGACAGTCCAGGACAGGATTTATTAGCTACCAAAGTCATCTCACAGACCCCAACTCCCTCCCCCAGTCCACATTCCTCCAAAACCTTTCTATTTCTACAAAGAGACATAAACGCTTGCGCATACATCAATTCCTCCCATTTACCATTCTGCCGGCAGAACAAAATCAATTGTAAGATAGTATTATAATTAACACTTCCCTCCGGAGGCCAATGTTCTTGATCATCTAGCTGATAGCGTGGCCACGCAGTTTCACAGAAGAATTTAGCTTTCTTCCTAGTCATAGGATCTCCACCAAACTCTGCCCAATGTCCCAATGCACAAGAGAGGGGGGTACATTTCCTAACCTTACTGTTAATAGTACCCATCTCAGGGCTGCCTTCCCGGTCCTGACCGTCCGACTTACCTGGGATCCAGGGATCTGTTCTTAGTCCTCGTCCTCACAGGGGAAAAATCACTGGTCTTGGACTCGGGCCAGACAGAATACTTACAGAGATAATCCCAGGCAGGCGTGCTGACGGTAGGCCTTATGCCCTTTCTACCCTCTCACCCAGGTGCCTGTTACTGATACTTTCACTCTATGACTTTGCACCGTTAGGCTACTGCCGCCTCAGCAATCCAGCTCCCCCTGAAACAAAAGTCTCACCGGGAAAAGAGATCCCGGGGCGCGCCTGACATTTGATAAGGAAGAGCTGTGTCTGGTCGTCAGCTAGTCCGGGCAAAGTTATCTAAGGCAGTCCCATCTGGGGTGCCAAAAACTGTTGAGCCCCAGCTCAAGTCTGGGATCGTGCCCGGTATGCAAAAGCCAATAAAGATACCAGGGGTGAAAGTATAAAGATTTATTGCTAGCAATACAAGGTGCAAGCGGAATAATTTCACGTAACAAGCACACAGAGTCTTAATTATGAGCATCTTTTATACAGGAGTATTGGACCTTCATAAGCATTCTTGTTTGCTAATTGGTTATAAGGGAGTGACGCAAGGAGTTCTTTACTGCGCATGTCTCTATACCTGTGTTTTAGCTATGTATCTCATTTCCATACATGTATGTTTCATTAGCATACTTTCTCCCCACCTAGGGGTGTGAATCTTAATATTTAAATCAGCTCTTTGCCCTACTCCACTAATTCTATTTTTGTTTTCAAGTCTCCTTTATCTAAGACTGTCTTCTCCTTATCATTGCAATTGAGCATTAGTTACAGAACAGAGACTTTTGCTTGGGCTATGTGTAGTGGTTTCTAGGTCAAACCTAACAATAGCACTGCAGGTGTGGGACAGAGCAAACAAATTAAGGAGTCAATATTTAAAAGGATACAAAATACTATGGTCTGGAGTTGAGTGAATCGGACAATGTGTGCATTGCTGTGAGCAAACAGAACGGCCTTACCCTGCTGTTATGGTGGCTCTCTTTATTCTTTGAGCTGGAGTTTCCAGGCAGCCACTGATTTGTTCCCAATTATGTTAAGGAAACCCAACAGTTTGCCAGGTTTTTGCTGTAATGATTGCTTTTCAGGAAGTTCCCAGTAAATACAGTGTTGTTTGTGATTTACTCTGTTCAGTTTCAAAAACGTTGACACCTAAGCCATGAATCAGAATAATACCTCTCTGCTTCCGTGGCCAGCCACAAACTATGAAGAGTGTGCCATTGCATTCCAGCCTATGGGCTGTTCACAAACAGTCTGGTAAATGCTTCAAAATAACAGGGATGCTGCATTATAACTTGGGACCCAAATCCAATGGTGTTCCTGAAGTCTTGTTCACAGCAGCAACTAGACCAGCTATAGTGTGTTAAGTCAGTGCAGAGGCAAGGCTTGTGCACTCGGAAAGATGGGCAGACATCACAAAGGAGTGGTCTCAGAGGGCGCCCCCTGGAGAGATGTTACTACCCTGCTGCTAGGTTTGGCACGTGAGTGGGTGCAGGTGGGTGGGAGGCACCTGAGACCGAGCACTCTGGGCAATGCTAGGGATGCCAGTGTAGACCTATGCCCAGGGAACACCAAAAAGTTGTCTAGTTTGGAGGGCAGGGTCTCTTCATCCATATCACTTATTTCACTTAATAAGTGAAATGTCACTTATTTTATTTCCTCTCCTGTTGTCTGGTCCTTGAACTTCATTCTTTCCTAACAATCTAATGCAACGTCACATGACAAGCTGGGGAAAGGAGATCAACACAGGGATCCTATTGCTAAGTCAGCTACTTATCATAATAACACATGATTTATATTAACCCTTCACTGTGCAGCTAGTAATGGGGAGTTATGTAGGTTGTGGTAACATAGTTCTGGGCATGGGCGGATCCAGGAGTGGAGAGGAGTTGGGTGGTATGGTCCAAACCTCCCTTTGGCTGTGCTGGGTATGTGTAGTGAGCAATCTGTGCTCCCTGGATCATATGTGAGGTTTCTGTTGGAGCCACTGCTTTGGTGCAGTTCTGGGACCTGGGAGTGGCGATGACTGCTGCCTTCCCCCCCACCCTCCTGCATCCTTGCTTGCTGCACACTCCACCTTCCCACCTCCCAGATCCACCCATGGGGGGTGGGTTTTCTGCTTTGACCATGGAGAACGGCAGCCCCTTTTCCTCCTGCAGTCCCTTCCCTGCCAGCTTGTCCCACCAAGTCATCTCAGATGGGAGAAGCAAGAAGCTGTAAACATTGTTTTAATTCTTTCCTTGCAGTTCCCCAACATGCACAGGATCCAGGTGACAGTGGGACTGTCCTGTGGCCCCCCTACTTTGTACCCACACCAGAACCTGGATGGGGCTGGTGAGGAGTGTAGTGGATAAATGGGCAAATAAAGGCACCAGCAGACCTAGAATGACAGAAGGGCAGTGTTCTGCTGCTGTGGGGTTATTGCATTACTGCTGCCTACCAGGGGTGTGAGGCCTATGCAGTTCAGTGCCTCATGCTAAGGACTATGCTTGTGTCTAGTCTCCTAATCTTGGAGTTAGGCAGCAGGCATGCAAGAGGACTGAGACTTCTGTGGAGTAAACTGATAAATACTGCATAGTAAAAGTTAAGTGGATACATGATGCAAAGCCTTATATCAGTGTAAGTCTTCCTTATGTCAGTGTAAGCAGTGGCTCAGGAAGTTACCATGCTGTATGTGTCTTGTGCTTCTCTAGTCAAAGCAGATTGGTTCCCCACCACCTAGTGCCTATAATAGTGCCTCCTATGAGTAGCCAGATTGAGAAATGTGATTGTGTGACCACACCTTAACTCAAAGTAAATGTGCTATGGGGGTAAAACTTAGGTTAAATTACTCAGGAGCACATATGTTGCATGTTTGGGTCTCAGACACAATTGTACTCTGTGAAGAGGTAACTGTGAGTGCTTGGCTGTGCTGGCATTCATTCCTACCCTCCCTTTGCACTAACATTTCACAAGTTTGTATCCCCTCCTGGGCACTGTTCTGGTACTTGCAGGACCAAGGTCTTGGAACCTGTGCCCACACCCCACTGATGTGTTTCCTAAAGGGAATGGAAGAGATGGGCAAGCCAGCAGGAGAATAGGATGGAGGGGGGTCAGTGGTGCTTTCTGTCTCACAATCCCTTGCAGGTTGCAGCTGCAGGATGTGGGAGTATGTGATAATAGCAGAGTGGGGTGAGGCAGAGAAGGGGCAGCAGAGCAATGAGTCTTCCTGACTTTTCCATCGTCCATCTTTGCATCAGGTAGATGCTGTCTTGGCGCTCTTGAGGGAGAGGCTGGGGTTGGGTGGGTATTGTGACCTCTGCTATGAAGGGTTACAACAAGACGGGATTCTCTCTCTCTCAAATGCTATGGGATGTCCTAACCCCTCCTACAGATGGGTCCTTGTTTTCTTGTAAATCCTGAAAGATTTTTTCCATAATGAGTTAACCCACACTCTTGGGCATTTCAAGCTAATAGGCAGGGCCGGATTAACCCCTTAGTGAGCCATGGGCAAATAAACTCGTGGGCTTTGGGCCTGTTGAGATCCCCCTCCCCATCCCGGCGCTGCTGCCCACAGGGAGTGGGGCTTGGAACTGCTGCTAGGAAGCAGCCACCACAGTGGTGAGGCTGGCAGAAGGGAAGGGAAGGAGGCAGGTAGGGCTATTTGCATTTCACCATGGTGGAGGGAAGGACTGGGCCCCACCACAACTCAGAGCCCTAGGCATGTGCCTAGTTTGCCTATGTGTTAATCTGGCCCTACTAATAGGTTTGGCAGGGTTGTGGGTTATGACAAGTTTGGGTATCACCCCCACCCCTGACTTTCACCCCAGGCCTGTGCACTGCTAATGGGCCTCTCTTTCTCTCTTTCTAGGATAACATCACTGCTCAGCAGATTTCCCATCCATGCTACCCCGAGGGATATGAGATGAACATCACTACAGCTGCCCTATATGACAGTCCCTGTGTCCTAGCTACATCCACCCCCAGCAAGACCCTCACATTCAGAGGGACGGGGGTATCAGCTGAGTGCAGGAGCAGCATCCAGAAGCTCTTTAACTTCACTGCATATGGGGCAGGAAAGATGCGTGGATTCAGCGGGGTTTACCAGCCACTGGTGCATGGGCAGTTTTTTGTAAGGCATCATTCCCCACTATCTGGGTAGGGCACTTGGAAAAGTTGCTTTCTATTGCCTGATGGCAGAACAGCTAAGAAGAGAGAGGGAGCCACAGCTAAGTCCTTTCCCTCCCCACCATAAAATCACCTTTTCAGTTGGAGAGAGAAGTTTTATCCCTTCGTCAGAGTGTTTGCAACCCCCCCCCCGCCCCCCCCAGCAACTAAACCTGAGCAGGGCCAGGGACAAATACTAGATAGTAATCATGAGGCTGCAGAGGTTTGAAAATCATGCTTTTCTCATATGTATGGTAGTGGTGGCTGTTCTTCTCTCATGCAGAAGCATTAATTTAGCTATGTACTTACAAGCTCTGGGTTTGTATTATTGGAAATATAGTGATTCTAATCTAGAATGCAGTGAAATGAGCAGATTTTGCATTGCATAAGGGAGCATAAGATCTGGTCGCAAGGGGTTAGTGCACAGACAGTCAGTCGGGAATGGTGTCTGCTTTTAGTTCTAATGTCAATTCTTAGGATCATCACAGAATGACAGGAAAGTAGGTGCTCTCATCCCCTGCAGTTTCTCCTTGGGGAGGTGGTTTTAATCCCTCCTCTTGTTCCATAGGCCTTTTCTGGATTTTATTACACTTTCAACTTCCTGAACCTGACCAGCGGGCAATCCTTCAGCACTGTCAACACCACCATCTGGGAATTCTGCGCCAAAAACTGGAAGGAGGTGAGACCTAGTCAGGAGCTTCACATGGTTGTCTGCTGCTGAGTGAAACCCCAGAGTTGCAGGGCTAATGGGGCAAAGCAGAGGAGCTTGGAGTGGGTGGGATTTACCACTTGCTGAGATTCCCATAGCTCACACGCTAGGCAGGAGGTGAGTGTGTGGGGATGGAAGAGGGCAGTGGCCCTGCAGTGCTCTGGGGTCTGAACTATGTAACTACTAGACCTTCTGGGACTGAGTTCCAGCAGTGAAGCACACTGCAGGAATCAGCCTGCTGCTACAGGGGCTTTGTTCTAGTTTCCCTGCCTCAGCTGGGAATTCATGTGCGGTTGGCGTGAATGACTGAGCCAAACACTGATGGGAGCTGGGATCCTCCCTGCTTGCTGTCCACATTCTGTCATGCTGGCTCTTTCAGCTGCAGGCCAGCTACCCCCAGGAGAAGGAGGTACACCTGAGCAATTACTGTGCATCGGCCTTCTACATCCTGACGCTGCTACACGGCGGCTACGGATTCAACGAGCAAACATGGAGCAACATCCATTTCCGCCAACAGGTAGGGATTCATTGCTCAGGCTGCTGCAGCCAGCTGGCAGTAGCTGGCTCTTCTGGAAGTTGGATCTGAAGGCCACCCATGTGAAAGCTATGCCAGTTAACTTGAATAGCTCGGTGGTCTGAGGCAGATCATTTATGTGGGCTCAGTAATGTAATAATCTTCCCTGCAGGGTCTTAAGTGTCCTGTACTCCTGTTGATTTCCCCAGGAGTTGAGGGTACTCAGCATCACGCAGGATTATCTGCACCTGGCTGTGTGCTTGGAAGCAGCAGGCTACCTTGTATTGTCATGGGAAAGTTTTGCTTTCACTGCTGCCACCTAGCGTGTACATGCTTTCATCACACAGATTGCTTACAGACTGCTGTGGCGGCTGTATGTCCGGGGTGGGAAGGGGGAAACAGGGGATGTTTCTGAACACACCTGGGACATGGGGAGAACGGTGGCGGGGAGGCTAGGGGACATCCTGCCTCCACGCTGCTTTAGACATGCCCTCTCAGGCCAAATTCTTTCCTCATTTGCACTGGCCTAAATCTGAACTAGCTTTCAGCTGGGTGGTTTGAGGGCAACAGAGCAGGATTCAGCCACAGATCTCTGATGTGGGGCAGAAGGTACAGGAACATGGTAGGGGGGAAGGAATGAAGCAGCAATGCATGTTTATGAATAATAGCAGGCTTCTCAGGGAAAATGCACCTAACCCTTCCTCCAAAAGCAGGAGGAATCTTTGCTCCTATCACTTGTATGAAATAGCCAATAATGCTGCAGCCTATAAGCTCCAGTTTTGGATTCAGTAGTTGCCAGTCTCAAAGGAATATTGCCTGTAGGGAGGGAGATGATAGCTTGTGACCCTCACAGATCTCTATGCCCCTTGTGCTGATAAGGGCTGGGCTGCCCTTGCCTGGAATCCAAAGCTGCAGTAGCTCTCCTAAGGGGTTCACGGGGTCATTAGCAATGAAGCAGCTGGAACACAAGGCCCGATGCACTTGGTCAACACAGTAAAGCCACTCTCTGGGTGTCTTTCCTTAGGCTGGAAACACAGACATCGGCTGGACCTTGGGCTATGTATTGAACCTTAGCAACATGATCCCCACAGAGGCTCCGGAACAAGTGACAGGACACTGGCACAGTCTTTGGGCAGCTGCTGTCGCCTTTATTGTGCTGACCCTCATAGTGGGTCTGGTGGGCATCGCACTCCAGTTCCTCTGGAGTTCCAAGTAGCTGTCTGGATAATGGACTTAACCGCCCCTTCACAAATAAGAAAAGGAAACGTGGCTCCAGTGGGACTTTGTCATTTTCCACCATTTCAAGATATCTTTTGAGTTTATCCCTGCTAATGCCTACCTCTGAAAGGGGCAACTTGATCACAATCTACAAGTCCATCCATGGGGAAAAGATTTCTTATAATAGATTTTTTTTTAATCTAATAGACAAAAGTCTGAAAGATGAAGTCAAACAGATTCAGACTAGATGCAAGTTTGTTTGTTTGTTTTTTCCCAAGGAGGGCGATTAACCACTGGAACGTCTTATCAAGCCTGATGGTAGATTTTTCCATCCCTTAATGTTTTTATAGTGAGAATGAAAGTTTTTCTAAAAGGCACCCTCCACCTCAGCTAGAAGCTATGGGTCTGATGCAGGAATTATTGGGCAGGGCTCAGTGGTCTGCTTTATCCAAGAGGTCTGACTGGATGATAATAGTAAGCCTTTAGGGCCTAAACATCCATGAATCCCACTGCTGAAGACTCCTGCAACTTTGGGAAGAAGGCCAGCAGTTCTGACAGAGAGGAAGGGCAGATGAGAAGATATAGTTGTCTCGGTACCCTCCTTCTGAATGCTGTGATATTCACTTGTGTCCTCCTTCTTTGACAGGACAAGAGCGCCCCTCACACTAAATAATGTCTTCCTAAAGCAGTCCATTATCTTAGAAGTGCTTACTGGCATTTTACAGATAAGAAAATAACAAGCAGGTGATAGGACTGCAAACAGCTCCTTCCACTGGCCTAGCGTTGACTTTTGTGTTTGGGGCACTGGCATTTAAAAAAAAAAAAAAAGCTGTGACTGTCTCCTGCTATAGACACCCTCCCCCTGCCCCCCATGTCTATTTAAAACCTCCCAAAAGCATTAAGAATCACTTCACAACAAAACCAAAGACACTAGTCAGGATTTTCAACCACTGGTGACATCTTTTCCATGTGAAACACAACCTACCCTGCCCTGCCCATCTCTCGGCTTAGCAAACAGCATGCACAAATGGTAATTGGCTTCAGGCTCTTCTGGTTTTACACAGGAACATGTGGTAAGCTGAAGGCCCTCGTGGAAATAAGCTTCTTGGCAGCTACCCTTTCCTCCACACTTGAAGGCTGCAGCTTGACCTGGTTGTGGCAGTAGGGTATAGTAGGGGGATGTGAGGAACTGAGACTGTACAATGGCCTGGGTCAGTTGATTGACAGGCAGGGTAGAATATCTCAGCAACATTATAGAGGTCTGTGCTTGCCCAGTGTCCCTGCAAAATGAATGCTGTGAGAAGCTTTACAAAGACCAGGTCAAGACCAAGAAAGGCTGATGGCCTCTCAGTTCCCCAGAGCCTTTGTACCAAGTGAAAGGACAGACAGACAGGAGGAAGGGACAAGTGAGCTCCCAAAGGCTGATGCAGGCTGAGCAGTTAGAGGTGGGTGATGCAGAGTCTACCCTGTGGCTGATGGGCTGAAGGAGGTCTCCTAAGGACTGGAATGGTCCAAGCTGGTGGTGAAGCTACTGGGCTGAGTGAGCTCCCAGAGGCCTATGCAGGCCAAACACACCATGAAGCCAGTAGGCTGAGCATACTCTCAAGAGTCCTGTGTTCAGAAGCTACTTGTGGTGGGTCCAAGATAATAAAGCTCCATCTGTGAGGTATACAAGCACTTCCCAGCATGTCTTTCCTTACAGCCTTGCATGCAGCTCTGTACTCACCCCTGCTCCTCAGCCTACATACAGCTCCTATCCCACTTTGAGTACTGGGCAGTACAGAGGTAAAAAACAACAAAAAACAAGTAGCGAAATGGGTTATAGAAAATGCTCTTTATGCTTCTGAACTGATTCTCACAGGTTCTCAGATAACATGGAGTCCCATACCACATGTCCCTCATAGGAAGCTTTGTTAAAACACTGAGCAGGGCTGGTTCTGGCCTGAACTGAACAAACTGGTGTAAACTTCTCTTGTTCTTTGGGAAACAAAAATAAAATGAAGCTGGGCTTGAGCTCTGCTGATTCTTGTGCTGTCTGACATGAAAAGGCTCCACTTTATTAAGGTTGGGCTGGGTCCGTGCTGGCTCGGACAGCAAAGCATTTGGGAAAAATGCCGATCTTACCATTGCAACGGCCTTCAAGCCAATCTTCATTCACTAGTAAGACACAAAAGAACAGGATGAGGATCTAGAAATTTCCTAGATGAACAAAGAAAGATTAGAAACTGGTAAGGGAGAAATTCTCCCCTATGTTAAGAGCCAGTACAAGCCTCTGCACCAGAGTCCCACAGAAGAAGGGAGGAAGCCGGCTCCAGCACCTGGGTCTTCCCTCTTGTGCCTGATGAGTGTGGGGGCTACATGTGAGTGGTGGGGAGCACCAGTGATACAGACTGCCTGGCGGAGGCTGCACCCCTTGCTGCAATGTGCAGTGCTGGCTGGAGCCATGTCCCATTGGGCGCCTGTGTCCTAAGTGCTCCCCACACCCCCCACCCTCCCTCATACCCCACAAATGCCACACACCCACAACCTGCCCCCACAACCCCCACTATACCCTGTGCCCCCCACACACACAGCCATACCCCCTCACAAACCTCCCCCCCACACACACACAATATATAAGACCAAGAATTTAATTTTGCGTTACTATTCAATCCCCTCTATATAGAGTATGCAAACACAAGTCATGACAAAATTATTTTTTGTAATAAATATGTTGTAGTAGGTATTTGACTTTAAGTGTATGATTTGTTTTTTTTCTGGTTCTAAGATGGCAACCCCCCCCTCCCCTGCAAAAGGAGTATGGGGGGGGGGGGCAAGAGGAGGGGCTTCCAGGGGCACAGGTCAGGGCTTAGGGGTGGGAGTTCTGGTCCCCAGATGGTGACAGAGAGCAGAGCAACTGTCAAGGGGTGGGACTACCCATGCGACTCTTGACAGGTCACCAAAACTCGTTAAGCGGTCCTCTAGCCGAAATAATTGCCCACGCCCGCTATATGGAGACCCTGGGAACATGGGGCTGTGACAGTGTGGGGCTGCAGAACCAGGGCTCTGCCCAGCTCCATGGTGTTATGGCCTCGCACTATCACAGCCCCGCGCTCCCAGGGTCTCCATGAAGACTGATCGGGAGTGCTGCAGGCAGGGTGCACAGCTGGTTGGGGAGCTGGGCCGGGACCAGGATCTTGGGGCAGTGACAGCACGGGGCAGGAGCTGGGGCTGGGGTAGAGCCACGATCTGCTCCCTTCACACCCCTGCCTGTGGTCATTGCAGGGTCGTGCATGCAGCGGATTGTGGCTCTGCGCTGGCCCCGGCCCTATGCTATCACCACCCCAAGATCCCAGGATCTCCCTGGCCCTGCCTGCCTGGCTCGCTCCTGGTCACAGTCCCATCCCAGTTGCCCAGCTGGGTGCCCTGCCCACGCGGGTCCTGCCCCCAATAGTGGGTGCAGGGTGGATGGGCTGGGGTTGACCGGGCACGAGGGCTTGGTCTGGTAGCAGCAGAAGGAGCCTCCACCACAGGGGCTGATAGGAAATGGAGTCTACTGCAGGCTGAACCTGGCCTGCAGGCCAGACTTTTCCCACCCCTGACCTAGGCACCCAGCTAATAGAAGGCTCATGGTCTAAGTCAGGTGTTGGCAACCTTTCAGTAATAGTGGGCCAAATTAATACAGCTCAGGCCTCCTCAAGCCAGAAGTGGCAGTTCATAGATGTTGGGGTCGGAAGAGACCTCAGTAGGTCACCAGCCTCTTGCCCAGGGCAGGAAAGAGGGCTGTGGTCAGGTCTCTTCTTGAAGACCCCCAAGGTATTGGAGAGCACCACCTCCCTTGGAAGCCCATTCCAGATTCTGGCAACCCTTACTGCGAAGAAATTGTTTCTAATGTCTTACCTAAACCTGCTCTCTGCCAATTTGTGGCCATTGTTCCTAGTTACTCCAGGGGGTGTGCTAGTAAATAGAGCATCTCCTATTCCCCACTGCCCTCCCCTGATGAATTTATAGGCAGCCACAAAATCACCTCTTGGCCTTCTCTTGCGAAGGCTGAAGAGATCTAGGTTCCTCAGTCTCTCCTCATAGGGCTTTGCCTGCAGGCCTCTGACCATATGAGTGGCCTCCTCTGAATCCTCTCAAGATTCTCTGCATCCCTCTTGAAGTGCAGCACCCAAAACTGGATGCAGTACTCCAACTACGACCTGACTAGTGCCGCATAGAGGGGAAGCATCACCTCCCTGGACCTCTTTGTGCATCTGCTAATGCATGATAAAGTTGACAGAGTTGGGTACTAGATGGTGCATTCTCATGCGAACATGCTTGGTGGGGTCAATAAAATCCCTTTGTGGGTTAGATCCAATCTGCAGGCTATAGTTGCTGACCCCTGGTCTAAGCCATTCTCATGCCTTTCCTGCAAATAAGCCTTGCCCAATACAGCATTTCCTTTGGAAGGAGAACACTACCTTCTGCGAGGATGTCCAACGTGTCTCCTTCGTTGAATTCCAGATCCTCTGGCCCTTCTGCAATGTATCTATATTCTGCTACCATCTGGTAGAGAACGGGTCTGTCTGAACAGGAATCTGGGCCCTACAGGACAAAGCCAAGGTGTAAATCACACGGCCATGCAGAGATTGCCTTAGAGTCTAACATGGCAAAAAAGCCCACAAAAGGTCCATGTACCTGGCACCAGAGTGTCAGCTTCCCATCCATCACCTGCTGCCACATCTTCCCAAGATCTTCTTCCCCAGAAACTGCAATCAGCTCTCCAGTGCTTGAATGCCTGTAACTGCAGTGATTCATTAACTCATTTCGTTTCTCTCATCTATGAGAGAAAATGTCTTAGAAACAGACTTAGGCCAAGCAACCTAGTCTTTGTTCTGGTGTCCTAAGTTCATATATTTTACTAACCCAGTGCTCTTTGAACTCCCATTCATTTAAACATCACCTCCAAATTAGCCCCACAAAGCATAATCAAGTTGAACTTGGCCTTAAATGCTGAGCTGGGTGTGAGAAAATCAAATAAATGCCAGTGGCATCTACACTAGTATTTTTCTTTGTTTCCCACAGTTCCACTACTGCTGGTGCAGCTTCACAGAAAATATTTTGCTTCATTGAAGCATCCCTTGTTCACACTTATTTGCTGCCCCCCTATGTGTTTATGCTGTGTCCTAGAGTGGTGGGATGGAATATCAATAGGACAAGACTACACGAATAAATCTGTGGGGAAGGGGGACATTGTACCATTTGCTGCGCACATATCTTTTTTGTGAACTATTTTTAGGGCTGTGTGAGCCCTACCAAAGGACAACACACCCCAGGAGAGAGAGATGGGTGGCAGACATAGCTGTAATGCCTGAACCTCTGGGCTAACACCTCTTTGCACAACTGCAGCTGCTTCCCTGCAAAGGCGAGAAGAAAGCTGCAGCTCTCCATGCAAGAAGAATTACAAATAAGTCTTCTGCATCAGCTACACATACCCAGAGTTCTGGCTTTTTTCCAATCTGATATGCAAGAATTTACCTGAGCTTTCCATGCTCTGCATCTTGACAGAACTTCTCCTTCAGCAAAGACCTGAGGTCGGACAGAGATAAAGCCTCACTCACTTGCACTGCTATTGTGTAAGAGCAATGGACTTTCAGTAGGATGGTTCCATCCACAGTGAAGAATGCTTCTTTTGGGGACAGTGGGACCTGCTAACAAATGGTGCAAAGGACAATCCAGTTTGGGTGGCTTCTTCTGGGGTCTTTCACCAGCAGAAATCAAAATTAAGAAACATGCCTGAAACCAAATACCCAACCTCAAGGCCACCAAATTCACTGCACGTATAGCATCAGAGCAACCAGGATCCAGATTTAAATGTCTCAGGTAGCTCATATGGGTGGTTCGAAAGCCAGGATCCTAACTTACTCATTATCATCCCAAGAAGGTCAGATTTGAATCCTATGGCTCTGCTGCTCTCTACCCAGTGTGAGGGTTCTGCTCCTGCCAGTGGGGAAATAGGTTTTTTCCTCACAATCACAGTGCCCTATAAAGGCATCTCAATAAAGGTGCTGACAGGTATCAACATTTCCTAAGGAAACTGTAGCTCATGAAGCTTGACCCCCAAATGACCTGCAGAGTCTCCTGGCTCAGCCAACTGAAACAGGGGTAGAGGTGACCTCACTTCCACAGAAGAAGGGCTTTAGACCCATATGAAGTAGGCAAAGGTGGTTTAAGTGATTCTACCTATATACAGAAATACAGCACTTCATAGCATAGCACACCATGGTTGCTAACTCTACATGGCAACCATCTGGATCAGGAAGTGCAGCAAAGAATAACGTCTCAGAAGAAAGCAAATAATGATGTTCAACCCACCAGTAATTTGGACTGCTCTCGTTTGTTTGTGGGTGTCTACCCCATTGGTACAGACAGAAAATGCTATAACTGAAAGAGGGGACTTGGGAAGTCAGGATTACAGTGTCCGATCAGATCCACTGTTGTAGATGGTGACCTTAGGGATCCCCAATGCAGCAAGGAGGCAGAACTCTGGAGAGTGATATAGATACATCCTGTGATGATGGAGGGGTTCAAGAGGTAGCAGAGAGATGGCTGATGATAGAACAAAAGCCATCTGGAAAAAAAAATCTCTCTAAGATGGGTACTGCAGGCTGGAAGGAGTCTTTGCAGTGAGCTCCAGAATTTGGGACAGCTTCAGAGTTTTAGCCCTTGCATTACGTTCCAGTGATTTTATAAACTGAACTTTGTCTGCATCTTGTTAGTTTGGGTTTGTAACACTGGAGCATCTTACCATAAAGTTTGTTTGGGAATTATCATCATCTGCATTAATGCCCTCTCCCTCAGTTGATCCTGTGAAGCAAAACACTCAATAAGGACTCACACAGACCCAGTGCCCCTGCCAGCTGGACATGCCTCTTTGGAGAGATGTATTTGGAGAGTTTTGGTCATGACCAGGCTTGCAGAGTTCCTGCCAACTTGAGGACCAAAGATTTTATTGCCTCACTTGTTAATACAAGACTGATTTTGTAGTCATGATGGCACAGAAATTATGTGAGAGGCGAAGATTTCTTAGGGTGATCTTTTTTATTGGGCCAACTATGTAGTTGGAATAAAGTTAGACAAGCATTTGAATGCCAGACATTCTTTGCCACATCTCCCTGGCAGAGAGGCTGTGTACACCCTTCTGGTATGGAAATGCAGAACCTTTGTGTACTCTGCAGTGTGGGAAGGGCAGCAAGTGACAAATGGCAGCTACAGCATTTATCCAGTGCCACATCTGGAGCACACGGACATAGTACTGGTTCCCATTGGGATCTTTGGCCCCATAAAGTGAGATTTACCTGGCTGCTGCTTGTCTTTTTGCTTCAAGTGGGGTCGGCTGGGGGGTACTTTATCAGGGGGAAGTGGGATCCCATTATTAATTTTCTGCAAGAGAGAAAAATGAGCCAGACCCTGGGGAGGGTAGAAGAGGTTGATGTCAAGCAGTACAGTTCTAAGTACACAAGGCTCTGAGAAATCAGCTACCGTGTTTCCTGCTTGCCAGGAGTCTGGGTGGCAGGCAGACTGGCAAGCTGCCCGCTGGTCCTGATCACTTCGGTGGGACTGGCTGCCAGCTGCCTGGTACCAGAGTGTCCCCAGCTGGTCCCAGTTAAAGTGCTTGGGTGTGGCTGTTGAATATAAGCAGCAGTTGGTACTCTGTGGGCATATCTATATGAGATGCTTAGTACCCATTGGACTAATTCTGCTGTGCATTAGCATGGTTGGCAAAAACTGTGCCAATGCACGGTTGATTAATTCAATGAGCATTAAGCATCACAAAATAGTATTTATTTGTGCTAATGCATGATAGCACTGATTACGGTGCATTAATGAATATGTAGATGTGCCCTGTAGGTTCTTAATGAGACAGACTTTTTTCTCTGGCTGGCTCCTGATGCCTTCCTTTTAGTCTCTTAGCTCTGGTCCTTGATGCCTGCCTGAACCATATGCTGAGCTCCTAGTGTTTGTACCCCATAGCTTGTTACTCTTGGCTCTTGGACTCCCAACGCGGGGGAGGGTGTGACTGCCAGGTGCAGCGTGGGGTGCGATGTGCCCCCGTGCCTACTCCCCACATGGCACCCCACAGCCATGCACCATGCCCCCTCCACGTGGAGGGCAGTCGCTGGCTGCGGCTGCAGGGCACACAGGGTCTAGGAGGCGCGTGGTGCACGGGCATGTAGGGAGCTGGTATGGGGGTACACAGGCAGTGCCCGCTGACTGCAACCCATGGCTGTGGGGTGGGGCACACCCCACACCTGCTCCCAGTGTGGCACACTGTGGCCCCCCCCACCCCCCCTCATGGGGAGCGACTGCCAGATGCAGCCACAGGGTTCGGTGGTAGGGGAGGCCATGGTGTGCAGCTGCAGGGTTCTGTGCGGGAAGCCAGCAAGGGGGTATGTGTGTGTCCAGCAACAGCAACAATATATAGTGACGTTTCACTTTAACCACAGAAAAAGGGTGGAATTAGGGTTTTTTTTATTGTCCTGTGGTGCAGCAAAGGATAGTGATGTCTATCAGCCCACAATTTGTGCTGCTGTAAAAATTTGTGTGTGTATATATGTATATGTATGTATGTATGTATATATAGTGGCATTTCATTTTAATCATGGAAAAATGTGGATGGTGGGGGGAAGGTTAAATCAGAAAATTTTGGATTTTTTTTATTAGGAAAAACCAGGATCCCTCATGATGACAGCAATGGTACATTGCTTACAACACAAATGGTTCCAACCAGGCAGAGAAGTTGATAAAACAAATAGACTCTGCAGGAAACAGATCAGAGCTGCACAAAAAAACCCCACCTTTCTCCAACTGCTTGGATTTCACTGTCCTTGGTCAAAAGCTCTGGACTCTCCCTCTGGATGTCTGAAGAGACGCCCACTGCCAGGTCTTTAGGTTCAGATCACTTTCACACACCATGCCTGAGTGTCCTGAACATATTTCCTTGCCCTTTCCCCACCACCATGATTACAAAGTTATCACCTTACCCACTTGTCAGCCTTTGGGGCATGAACAGGTTCCAGTAAAGAGGTTGGTACGCACAATTTCTGGGGGATGCAAAGTAGAAGAGAAAACCAGGTCAGACCTAGCTACATTGACAGACACAGAACCTTTGAATGGCAGCTCTTTGGGGCAGGCAGTATCTGAGATGAGTCAGTGCAGGGCATAGCCCAGTGGGGTCATGCTTCAAGACCCGGGTTCCTATTTGCTACTGAAATATAAACAATGCAAGCATTGACTCAGCCATGGTGTGCCCATGGAAAGTGATGCCAATGTGAGGACACAGAAATATATTACTGCCTCTTCTGAGGAAACTGCTTTGCATGTAGCAGTTATAAGTGGGACACTGAATGAATCTTGGATATACCTTTCTGCTTTTTTCTGTGGAAGGTGATGATCCTATTGATGCAAGCAGCTCACCTGTTCTTGTTGCCCAATGGCAATTGGAAACTTAACAGTCCTTATAGACTCCTATGCCTAGTAGCCAATCCATGAAAATAAATTGATGATAGCTTCAGAGGAGGTACCAATGTATTCCATTCTTCATGCTCCTACAGCTCGAGAGAATTACTAAAGAAATATCTTAAAGCCTCATGGAGGCCCTGCTAATGGTGCATGTCCAGGACCTTCCAGTTTCACATACCTGTCCATTGTGTATGACAGTAGCCCAGCCATCTGTGTCTTTGGTTAGTACAAAGACAAGGCTGCTGGCCTTCAAAGCCACCTCCTCAGAGTCCTTGGGGTAATAATGGCCCAAGACACGATAATAGCCTGAGTCACAGTCTCTGGAGAGAAAAAAAAGAAACAAAGAGGCCACGTCTAGATGAATGTGGCCATGTGGTATGTTACACTATGAACCTGTCAGCAGCTCCACACACTGCACATTCAGGCATTCCCCACGCTGCTACCTTGCAGCAGTGCAGAGGGTTTTCTTGACCCGGGGAGATCCTGGGGTCAAAAGAACCCATGCAGAAAAAAGTGGGGTGGCATATGTGGTGGCATTGTGTGCTGCCCAAAACTGGAGCTTGGATGGCCAGAGCCATGCTCCAGCTGCTGGCCAGGCTCCCAGCTGCAGGAGCACTTCTTCTGCCCCTAGGGCCCCAAGTAAGGCTTCTGGGGCCAACACAGCTGCTAGCTCAGCCTCTCCCACCCCCACAAGGTGTGCTGCTGCTACTTGTCCCTGGGAAACCAAACCAAACCATCACTTATCTGGATGCAGCCAGAGTGTCCTTGCTAAGACTGCAAACAGATGTTGCATTTCTCCCAGGATAAACCTTTTTATTCCAGGACAAAGAAGACACAAGAGCCACATCCAGACATACAAGTATGTGCAGTTTGTGGCACTGCAAACCTCTGCGGTGCCACAAACCACATGTCCAGAATATTAAAACATGGGGCACACTGCAAATTTGCAGTGCATGGGGCAAATTTTGCTACCAGGGAATCCCAGTAGCAAAAAAAAAACATTTAAAAAGTAGTGCGGCGCACATAGGAGTGTGCACTGGTAAACACAGAGGCTTTGTCCTCTTGGGAGATGCTCTGGCTGCCAGCCAGAGTGTCTCCACTCCTTTAGTTGTCCCTTGGCTCCTCCAGCACATCAGGAACAGGGGAGGAGTGGGGAAAGGGCAGCTTCCCTGAAGCGGGGCAATTTCCGCACACCAAAGTACACATGCAGGGGTGTGCACTGCAGCAAATTTGTGCCACTACTATTCTTGCTGCTGCAAGTGCACGCGTCTCCATGTGGAGACGTCCCCAAAGATATTCTAATAGTTTATCCTGGGACATTGCACAGTGGGTGTGTTTACATGTGATGCTAGGTCACCATAGCCATGCACCATGGCAACATAGCATCTGTGCGTAAAAAAACACGATGCCACAGCTACATCGCTGTAGTGATGTGCTCCCTCATTATAATGTGTTGCTATGGTGATGTAGTGCCTAAAAATAACTGTGCGCAGCACACACTATGTAGTACAGGTGTTACTGCGCTGTCTTTTAGTACGTCCAAAAAGAAGTACTAAATGACGGCGCAATAACAGTGGCGCCATAGCAGCACATGCAGATGTGCCCAGTTTGTCTAAATGGCTGTCCTGGGTTTGCATCATTGTCCTGATAGCAGAAAAGTAGTTGTTGTGCATTCAGCTGTGCACTTAACCCTGTTTGGAAGGGCCGTGTGTCTACATGCCAGTCCCGGGATATTTTTGTTCAGGGACAAACACAGGCACAACTTATCCAGAGATAAACATACCATCTGTCCCTAGCCTTGGAGCCCTTCTTACCCCTGGGGAGGGGCTATCTATGGGTTTAGTGTGAGCCTTCTTTTTGCTTCTTTGGTTCGTCTCCTCAGATATCTGCAGGCTGGGAAAAGACACTGTGACCCTTCTACTCTGATTCTTCTAAAGGTAAGTGTGGTAGGAGAGGTGCAGTCGCACACTCAGACAGCACTGTTCCCAGGAGTGAGCCTACTCCTTTCTCTGGTGCCTTTCTGACCAATTCAGAAGGAGGAGTTGCCATTTTTCTGGGATCTGAGGAAAAGGCAAGTCTATTCTGCTCTATCTCCCTGATCTCTGTCCCCATATATTCACACACCTCACAAATACAAGCAAGCACAGCTTAAATCATCACTAAGGAAAAGGCAATGGCAGCAGCAGCATATGGGCACAGGGACACCACAGTGGTACCACAGCAGGGGTGGAGAGACCATGTCTTTGCAGCAACCAGTAAGGCTGACCTGGCCTCCCACCCCCTGCCTGCTCTCTGGCACTGATCATCCCTCTGCTCCCTGCATGCTCTCTAGTAGGCTTTTGCTCAAGGTCAAAACTTGCTAGTTATGCTTCTGCTGTATTAGCCTTTGTTTGTAGTCTATCAGGAATGACAAGGCATGGCATTTTGAAGAACCTGCTATCATCTACTAGAACCAACTGATGCTGAAAGAGCTTCCTTCTGGCATCCTCCAGCTATTTCTGAGAATTCCCAAAGTTCATCCTTTGCTTGCATCATGGCACCAACTAGTGCAATGCTACAAGTACTGAAGCACATACATACATGGAGTGCTTTGAGACTGTGGCACAAAGGATACCATGGATGTTCAGTAACAGTAGTAAATAGTTCTGCATTATTGCAATAATTCTTGCAGTCATACAAGCCTTACATGCTCAGCATTTTCTCCACACTGATGAATATATAGGGTTGGGATATTACGGGTTTTTCAAACCAAGACACGTGGGGACCAAACAAGATGCCCTGTACAGGGAAGAGTGATAGAAAAGCAGAGCTGCGGCGGAGGAGGAGGGAACTGGTTACTTACTGCACAGCATCAACACTGGGTTTGTAAAAGCCCTTTGTCTGTGAAGAAACAACAGCATCAGCTCAGAAAAGTTTGTGGCCAACCAATATGCAGGGTTATATAAAGCTGTTTTCTGGCCAGGAGAGTCAGGGTCAGAGACAGTTTCAGGCTTTGATGATATTTTTCCCTCCTATTCTCCTGTCCATACTTGTCATGCTAAAGCCCCTGTAAGGAGAGCCTTCAGAGTGTGGTGCTAATAACACAGGGTCACACTTTTGATACCTGGTTGGATTAAATGATTTCTTGAGGTCCCTTCCAGCCCTACTTCTCTGAGAAATCAATGAAAATGTGCACACTCCCCACTCTAATGAGCTGCACCACTAAGCAGTGTTGGACTGGTATCCCCTTCTTCCAACTACCCTCCACGCCACCTAGCCACGCTCTCCCACTCCTAATTGTAAGGACTCCACGCAATCTAGCCACGCTCTCCCACTCCTAATTGTAAGGGCTTCATATGATGGTGTAACTCACACAGATTTACTGCGATGGGTTTGTTATGGTGCTTGACAAGTATAAGGCAAGTATGGCAGGGATTTACTCTTAGAGCTTTAATTCAGGGCCTGGACAGGTAAAACAGTTACAACACTTTAAATGGGGTGAGGAAGGACTGACCATGGTGTAGCTGAATCTGGTGTAACTGTTTAATCTGTCCACTACTATTCCACAGTAAGTGAAGCTAAATCTCAATAATTTATCCCACATTTCATTTGGGGATAAATTATGATTTAGCTGCACTTACAGGGGACGGGATAGGTCAGACTACAGTTACATCAGATCAGCTGATACACTTTCCTGAATGGTAGCCCCCTCTGGCTAACAGTGAAATACCAATGATGGGCTCTAAAGCATAGAAAGGTACCTACTGTGATATGGAGCTTTGAGGGTATGCTTAGAAGTGGGATATATGGGAAGACTTAGTGTCCCAGGAAACAACTCTGATACATTAAAATGTTGTGGATTCTACAGCCTTTTCCAGTAAAGGGTTTTTATCCTGAGAGTGTACTATATGGAGCTGTATGATAGCAATATCATTATATGCTCTTGCATTGCAGTGTCAGTTGTTCTTTTTGATACACTCACCTGTGGCCTGAGAGGCTCAAACCCAATGTACTCATCATTAGGAATGACAGAGGAGATCACCTGCCACAGGACAAAATGATGATTGACTTTAGATCAGATGAAAGTACAGCAAGGCACTGTTAAAATTATCCCTGGGAACTAGCCATTGAGCCAAGTGTCCACATAAGCTCGTGCCCACAATGGCAAGGCATGAAGACAAGTCACAGCACGCAATGGAGTGTGCAGATCTGATCCAGGCAGTAACTCCACCTGCCTCAGTGCCTGGTTTTCAGGCTCCTGCAAGCCAGATTCTTCACATATTTGTGAGTGAATTACCCTCTTGTTCACCTCCTCTGTATACAAGTGGATATTGCCCTATAAAAGTTATATAAGAGGAGTGATAACATACATCTCTGATGCCTTGACAACTTTCTCCTAAGGGCATTAACTAAGGATTCATCCCATAAGGAATCCACCACAAGTGGAAATATCAAAGTTTGTGGAAGTAATCCACATGAACTTCCCATAACTTAAAAGAATCATTTTCAGCATAATGGACAATCATAGGATTCCCACAGTATTTATGTGGCATTTTCAGAGATTTTTGATTAGCAAATACAAGTGCTGAGGGCTATCTTTAACATTCAGTTCCCAAAGAACCCCCTCCTGAATACAGAAGCTCAACAATTTAGGAGCAGTCTCTCTATGGACGCAAATGTTTTCAACAGATCTCTGATTATTCTCCTTCTTTGTGAAACTCAAGAGCCACTCAAGGCTACAAATCACTGCGCGCCAAAAAAATGACAGAGAAAAACCTGAAAGGGTGTTTCTCAATTATGAGGTATATTACATTTATGTTCTAAAAAGTCCTTGCTAGTATTTCCTGGGTGCCACCACTGGCAGAGAGCCTAATCAATGCTAGTCTCAGGTGGCTGGATGGTTAGTGGTTGGCAGAGGGCCCTGGCAGTAGTGCTGTCTTGAGCAGGTAGAGCTGTGGTTTGCTCACTGCCAGTTTTAGTCATCAAAGTGCCATTGCGTATATGCATAGGCAACATTGGGGGGGCACATGTCCCCTCCTGGGATTGGCCGCCACTGCCACCATTGCTGGCATTGGCAGGCGGCCCTTGCTTGCTACGCTCCATCACCAACACCTCTGTTGGCATCTGTGGGCAGTCCCCACTCGTTGCTCGCCATCCCCCTGCCTCCAACACCACCACCGGCATCTGCGTGCAGTCCTGGCTCACCACCGATGCTGCTGCCTACAAACGGTGCCCCCACAGTCTTGGGAGGCACCAGTCATTCATGCATATATGCCTACACCAGAGTTGACCTTTCTGTAACCAGATGTTACCTTAGGTTTACCCAGGAAATCTTTTGAATCCAGCTGTTCAACTTCCTTCTTCCGTGGTCTGAACAACTCCCCCGCGGGGATCTGCATGGGGTCCAGAAAAAGATGTTCCTAGACCAGGTGGGGGAGATCAAACAAAAGTTGCCAGATAACATAAATGGAAGGTTTCTATAGAACAGAAAAAAGCAAACGCTGATCTTCCCCTTGTGTTTGGTTAATGGAGATAATTCACTGTGGCTCAAACTATTTGTGTGAACTTGAAAAAAAGGGTTACTTGGATTTAACCAACATGTACAGGCTAAAATCACAGCAGATGTAGCCATGCCTTTGGTTATAAGCTAATTGTGCTGGTATTAGGGAGGGATGAAGGGAGAGTATAAAATGAAATTTTTAAAGAAATCTCTAATGTGCTTTTCTAGTGGATTTCCCCAGTATCATGGTTCTATATACATTGTAACTATGGATTTACAGTTAGGAAATAAAATTTACAATGGCCCTGGAAGGAATTAGGAGCATCATGAGATATTTGCCTATGGTAAGAAAGGAGACAGGTAGACAAGATCTCATAGAGGTTTACAATACAGTAGATGGTCCAGAGGAGGCAAACCAGGAGCTCCTATTAACCATCTATGAACACGTAAGAACATGGGACACAGTGAAATCTGAGAGCAACATGTTTAAAACCATCAAAGAAGTTTTTCGCAGTGCTTATCTTGTGCACTAACTAGTAATTACCCTCCTGAAGATATCACTGGGCACCTATATATGTGCAAGGAGTCTGCTCCGACATGCTGCATCCCCGTGCTAAGAAATGGCGTCAGGGGCACTTTAACTAAAGCTCATTCGATGAGCCTTGGTTAAAACACCCCCGCTGCCATTTTTCAGTGCCAGGATGCTGATACATGTAATGCTCCGGTGGCTTTAATTAGAGTGGCTCTGAGAGCACCTCCCCACCCCACACTCCCAGACCACATCTGTAAATGCCCACTGAGACCAACAACTTAGTAGGATTTGAAAAAGTATTAGCTATTTTTTATGGAAAATTAGGCCCTCCAGAGTTACATTAGGTATGATTTTCTGAATTAAACATGTTATAGGGGATCATCATACTTTGGATCATAAACATTCCCCAAATGATAGGAGTTAGAAAGATACTTCCCCCCTGGTTCAGTTCTTTTACAATTGTCTGCAATGGTGTTTTTTGCCCCTTCTAATGAAGCATTTGATAGTGATGGAAACAGGATACAAGATTAGCTACCACAGCTCTGGTAGGTTATCTCATCTTCTGTGTTCTGATAGGAAAACCCTTAGGTATTTAGGTAGGTAGACAGACTATCAGGAAGGCCCTAACCACAGGAGTGTTCTTAGCGTAGATGTAGATGTTTTTATTCTAGCCCAAGTCAAATTTATCCATAGTTTCTCTTACTTGTATGCGCTTAAGGGCCAGGTCTAGGCTCACCGTTCTTCCCTCAGGTCTCTGTATGATAGCGTTCTCCAGAGTTACTTTAGCTTCCTGCCACTGCCCAAGCCGGCACTGCGCTGCTGCAATATTGTACAGCACCTAAGAACAGCAACAGTGAGACTTTCTGATCGGTGAGAAGAATCAACGTAAACAGAAGTAGATACCCTGAATTAAATGGTATGGTGTACCAGAAGATTGTGGATACACCGACCAGCCCCACCTTTCCCTTCCTATTGATCCCAGGGAAGATACTACAAGAATCATGTCTTACAAAATTTCACATGCAGAGCCTAGTGAAAATAAGAATTGTGCCTTTATAATGTTAGGCTGTCAGACCCCACAATGTATGGCAGTCACGGGCTGAAGTCAGGACTAGAAACAGGGATACAAGGAGTAAATAGCTACATGGGGAGGGTGGGGAAGGGCTGTTGCAGGTGGAACCTCTTTGATTGCAAATGGAGAACTAATCAAGTCTCCTGAAACCTTAAGAGCTTTAAGCTTTTCCCTTATGCATGTTGCATGGGTTTCTCCAAGTATGCAACCTGCTACTTGTGATATCCATACTGTAAAGCAGGGGTGGCCAGATTCAGCATGTGTGGCACAAGTAGCATGGGAAGCTTCCATGTGTAGCCTGCAGCAGATCTGGGAGGAAGCAGGAAGGACAGCAGCAGATAAATTAGGGAACAGAAAGCAGAGCTATAGATTAGATAGGGAGCAGAAAGCAGAGCAACAGGTTGAAGGGGATTGGCACATGGGGAGGGTGCAGGGCTTACCTTGTACCCCCACTGCTCCACAGTATGCAGTGGAAGCATATTCATCAAGTAAGCATGGGGGGAGGAAGGAAGTAGAGGGGTGTCAAATGAGCATGACATGAGTTTTTTGACAGAGCAATAGAAGCAAGATAACATGTTATGAGAATCCATGTTCTGATCCTGAACTCTGGCAGAAGCTTACAGAGGAGTGTAAGTAAGCTTATCCATAGCCAGAGGGTGTGTCATAATCTATATTTTAATATATTTGACCCAGTTTTAAAAAAGGATGGCCTTCAGGCTCACTAAGTTGGTATTTACAACATTAAAGACCGATTTCAGAATCCAAATGAGAGACTTGAATGTAACTTTAATATATCTACATTGAAAAGTTGGGTATAGTGTATAAGAGAAAGATGTTTATCTCTTTAATAGTGCTTGGACTTGGGACTAATCTTGAGTCAACAGAGACAAGCTGTATGAAGGAGGTCAAAAGGCTGAAGAAAAATAGCTGCTTTCCTTAGAAGCAAGGAAGTAATTACCATGGGGTAAATATGATGTTTGTCTGTTCCCATTGCACTGGCAAATGGATTGATACCTCGTACCTCACAGAAGACTTGTGGGGCTTAATTAAGGTAATGTGGTTGCTCAACGGACATCAGTGACAAAACTAGTATTAGTCCGTATAGGACAAGGGCTTGGCCTTTATTATTTACAAAATGTTTTTAGGTATCTGACTGAAACATAATTAGAGCTTTAATCACAAACTAGAACTATTATTATCATCACCATTGTCGCTGGTGGGGCATGCATGCATTTACTGATGGCAAAGCTTTACAATGGCCTCTTGTTTAGATACACTGCAAAATGAGCAATCTGAGAGAAAATTAGCACTCAGAAAAAGTTTAAGGTCATCCCAAGACTGAGACTTGTTTCAGAAGGTCAAAGCAGCAGAAATACGCACTTTGTGATCTTCTAAAGAAAGCCAAAGGAATAAATATTTGTGCATACCAGTGTGTGTACCAGCTTCCCTTGCCCCACTTCAAGCTTGACTGGGACCCCATGCTTTTTAAAGCATACCTGTTGTGTTTAATGTTTTCATTGTTTCAAGGCAGCTGAGTGGAAGGAAATGCAGGGGGTGGGGGGTCCTTAAAAAGAGATCCATGCTATTGCTGTTATCCACTGCAAAGGCATTGAAAATGTTAAAAACTAGATTTGGAGAATGCCAAGGGCACCAAGTACTACATCAGGTATGAGAAGCACAAGTCATAAACAGAGCTGTCTGACAGGTTCTGGGACATGCCTGACTGGAGACACACAATGGCTCTTTTCATGTTTGAGGAAGTCTCTGTATTAAACTCTCTTATTCATGTACCTGATTTTCAGCCCAAATGGACAAAGAAGAAAAAGGGAGTGAGAGCACTCATATGCACATATGCACCCATTTTGTCTGTGTGTACACAGGGCTTTTAGCTCCTTTTTAACAAGTTTTCATAAGAGTAGTTTAAACAGAGCTGTTTTTTCCAGATAGGATTATACTAGGTACAGGCAGTCCTCAGACTTATGATGCAATTGGTTCCTGAAAACCGTGAAACATCGTAACTCGGAAATATTTTCCCATAGGAACAATGTTATAAATGAGGGACTGGTTCCTTTAGGATGCTAGGTACAGCTGCGTCCAGCTGGTAAGTCTGGTGTGGTGGTAGGGGAGGGGGAAGAGAAGAGGTGTGGGAGGGCAGATCAAGGCCCCCCCGCAATGAGAGAGGGGCTGGGGCTGGGGCAAGTTGCTCGTCTGGCGACTCCTGCCGCTCGTCTGGGAGGGCACGTGGGGGGCGTGTGTCCATGGAACTGCGCAGGCTGGGGCGCGTGGGCCGGGGCTGCGCTGGGAGTGGGGGCTATGCTGTCCTGCCACTCACCCAGCCAGGGCGGGGTGGGCGCAGGACGGGGCTGCTGCACTGACTCTGCATAAATTGCGCACAGCAGTGGGAGATGCCTCCTCCCTCCCCTGCCATCGCCAAGGAGCTGTGGCTCTGTCCTGTGCACACCCTGCCCCAGCAGACCGAGTGGCAGGGGGGCCTTGGGGGGGG